GAGATAAAAAACAAGGTCAGTCATTGCCATCCGTGATCGATCACTTTGGTCTTCTGTGTTATAACATTCAGCTTTATATCTGTGAAATAATAATGCTTTGGTCAATCCTAAATAAAAAAAAAAAAAAGAGATTTGAAGATTTGACGTTCAAGATTTGGCCAATTTTTATTCCAAAAAATAGATTCCTGTCACGTTGGCATAAGCTAACAGATCTGACTAATGGGGGGAGCGATTGATTCTTCCCAAGTCACATTCGTCCCAAGTCACATTCGTTCCAAGTCGATTCGTCCCACAAGTTTATTCTTGCCACAGTCGATTTGTCAGATTTAAGGTTAGCCCACTACTAACTCACCTAGTACGCACAAAATCCCGGTGATTTATTGTATCACATTTGTAGTACGTTAAACCGTTGATCCCAGGATATATTCATATTTCAAGATTATAGTGTAGTTGGTTAATGTTCTGTAAATAAATAAAAATAACGCGATATATTTTATTATTTTGTAATTGTTCTTATGAAATTTTTTTTCAACAGTTCACATGTAATTGGCTGAGCTTATTATAGTCATTAATTAATATATACAAATACGCCGTACACACAACATACAGTTATTACCAGTAGTTAATAAATATAAATACGCCATACATAAATAAATAAGTGTGTCAGTAACTATATACAGTTGGTCGAACTCGCAACAGAAACCGACAAGACATAGCATACATCGTACATCGATTTCAACTCCTTGTACACAAAAATAGAAATTGACATCACTAAAAAAAATGGGACTAATGTGAATTTGGACCAATCGACTTGTGGGATGAATGTGAATTGGAACAAATTGACTGTGAATCTTGAACACTGCCTACCTAACTCTTTACCATAATCCATAATCTTTTTACAGCAAGTCTCAGAAGTATCGGGGCAGCCAATTTGCAAACTCGCTTAGCGAATTGGCTAACTGCTTGGGTTTTGACTAAACAGTTGGCTTTTGAATCTCGCTGGCGCCGACTCGTGTTCACGTCCACTCTGGGCGAGTGTATATTGCATTAGGAAACATAGTATGCTTTTACGTAGCCTGGTACATGTCTGGATTCCCCTGAATGATTTGCTTTGCGAGACGTGATAATGGCCACAGTCAGCTAGTGTACAAGTGATAATATGATAAATGCGATTAATCCACCGATATTTACCATATGGAGGTAGCCATCTTGAACAATGATTGAAACTAATAAAGAGACAAGTTGAGAAACAGTTTCCTACAAATCAGGGAGAAAATACATTTTCACATCCAAACGATTCGTTGGGATAACAACTGCTAATAAAATTCGACTTCATCGTTTTTGCGTGGATCCCTTGTATTCGAACACCTTGTATCCGAAAACCCTGGTATATTTGAAAGCGAAATCGCCATCCAACTAAAGTATGATGACCATCCCCCTACTGTTATACAGATTCGCCGTAAGTGGCATGACCACAGCACGGTGCCAGCAAAATTTGAAAGTCAACCGTTCAGTCAAAACCAAAGCAGTTAGCCAATTCGTTAGCGAGTTTGCAAATTGGCTGCCCCAATACTTCTGAGACTTGCTGTAAAGGTTGCTCTTGTTTTGTGGCCATTCACTATATATAAGTATTCTATGCAGTATCTTTTTTTTATATTTTCAAGTTTTAATAATATATTCGTTACACCATTTTTATTATACTTTTTTTAAAATGTTATTTCCAGGAAGTGTTACAGTACTTAGCAGATGAAGACAGGTGAGATTATGAAAGTGATTTTTTCCAGTGTCTATGTGGTAGACAGTAAGACAGCAATCAATTTCTATAATAAAATTAAAATAAACAGTAGTCATTATTTAAGGCCGGAGAATAAATAATAAGATGTTGAAAAATACAATTACATTTTAAAAACCATTAATGTTTTGTTCAACATCATTTTCAGACACGTAAGGACTGATTTGGTTCAAAGTTGGTACACAGATAATTGTTTATGCATATTAAATTGTTTTCTGTTTCATTGCAAAATTTTAACAAACCATCAACCATTTCACAGCCTTGGTTGATTTCATATCTTTACTTATGGTGTGTTACTGATACATGTCATTTATTTTCACAAACCATCAACCATTTCACAGCCTTGGTTGATTTTATCTCTTTACTTATGGTGTGTTACTGATACATGTCATTTATTTTCACAGTTCAAAATTGATGCTTTATTAGGAAAGACATAATGTTGTGAATATTTCTTGTGATCAGATTCAGTGTCTATGTAGTTTTCTCGTCTAATATTTGCAACAAGTCCTACTTATGAACTACCGGTAGACAAGTACCTTTATATGAAGCTTATTTTCCCAGAGATACAATATAATCAAACATAAATATATATTTCTTTTTCATTGATGTGGATATACAATATAATCAAACATACATTTTTTTTTAATCAATGTGGACTGTGACACATATGTCTTGTATTTCAGATATAGTAGCAGTGTACTGTCTGATACAAAGGAACTTCAAGAAGATTTCATAATAGAGACCATGGGATATGATGCAACACCCACAAAGCAATCACCACAAGTAAATTGTTGATAATTACCAAATTTTTTTAGTTATTTTTACATGTAAAAATGAAAATCATAGTCATGGGTAACCTGGCACCATTGTCTTGAAATCATCGCCATGATAACCAGACACCATTTTATTGAAATCATTGCCATGATAACCAGACACCATTGTATTATTAAAATCATAGTCATGGATAACCTGACAACATTGTATGAACTCTTTGTTCCCAGGAAATTGATGGTTATGTATATTATGATAAAATAGTTGGTGATATGCCAGTACACTGCAGATGCAAACAAGGTATTCAATTGTTTAATACTATATAGCAGTTATCCACAATCAAAGAGATTACATAATATTACTGCCAACTGATGCCTACTGGCTTATTGTATGTGTTAACACTGATTCTATATGATCTAGTGGTAGTTCAAGATCCACCAATACAATGTTGTAAATTACTGGTCGAAAATTCAGTATTGTACAATACTGATACATAATTGAGGATGCTGCTATACTTGTCCAGAATTGAGTATGGTATAGTGCTGGTCCAAGATTCAGTATTGTACAATTATATACTACTGTTCCATAATTGATTATGGTATAATACTGGACTAGAATTCGGTATGGTAAATTACTGGTCCAATTGGGTAGGATACAATACTGTTCAAGAAATGAGAATCGTACACTACTGGTCCATAATTCAGTATAGTACAATACTGTTCAAGAAATGAAAATGGTAGAATACTATGAATATGAGTATGGTGCAATGTCACTGCCCCAGAATTGAGAATGGCACAATACTGGTCCAGAAGTGGGTATGGTGCAATGCTCGTCCAGAATTCAGTATGGTACAATACTGTTCAAGAATTCAGTATGGTACAGTGCTGGTGCAATTGTACTGGCAGAATGCAGTATGGTACCATTCTTGTCCAGAATTCAGTATTGCATATTAATGGTCCAGATTTTCGTATGGTACAATACTGTCCTGGAATTGATTATTGCTGGTGCAATTGACTGGCAGAATGCAGTATGGTACCATTCTGGTCTAGAATTCAGTATTGCATAATAATGGTCCAGACTTTTGTATGGTACAATACTGTCATGAATTGATTATTGTATAATACTGGTCCAGAATTCAGTATGATACAATACTTGTTCAAAATACAGTATGGTACAATACTGGTTTAGAATACAGTATGGTACCTTGCTGGTCCAGAATACAGTGTGCTACCATTCTGGTCCAGAATTCAGTTTGGAACAATATGATCCAGAATTCATATTAGTACAATACTGGTCCACATTACAGTATGGTACCATTCTGGTCCAGAATTTAGTTTGCAACAATATGGTCCAGAATTCAGTTTGGTAAAATACTGATTCAGAATACTGCATGGTACCATTCTGGTCCAGAATTCAGTTTGGTTCAATACTGGTTTAGAATACAGTATGGTACCTTCCTGTTCCAGAATACAGTATGGTACCATTCTGGTCCAGAATTCAGTTTGGAACAATATAGTCCAGAATTCAGTTTGGTACAATACTGGTTTAGAATACAGTTTGGAACAATATGGTTCAAAATTCAGTAGGAAACAATACTGGTTCAGTAAACTTTATGGTACCATTCTTGTTCAGAATTCAGTTTGGTACAATACTAGTTCCGAACACAGTGTGTCAAATATAAATTTAATGTTTTTTTTTATTGTGTGTAGGTTATCTGAAAAATAAACATGTAATTTGTTTTTGTATTCTCTGTTCTAGGTAGCAATGTAAATGAGGAGGAGGAGGTTGTTATTGATTTAAACCTATTAGCAGCAGCTTATGGCCAATCAGCAATTAATGTGACTTCAATGAAAATATCACCATCACAACAACTAGTAGCAGTTGTCATAGAAACCTCTAACAGTGATGTTTATAACGCTCAGGTATGGAGGATTGGGAAACCCTCTCACATTAAGATACTAGAACAAAGCCATGAACATGGAGCAGGCTGTTCTCATCATGGGAGTGGTCACCATGGTGATGGAAATGAGGACTCCACAACTCATACTCATCATGGTGATAAGATGAAAGGAAATATTAATGAACAGTTAGATGTTATACATAATGTTTTCAATATCGGTGAGCTCACTTTTTTCTGCCCGAAACTATTTTTTTTTTTTTTTGCGCTTGTATGCATAATATATTTTACATTGATTTGAATGACTTACTGATTTGATTTTGATTTGTAGACAGTTCCAGTTTGCATAAATTGAGCACTTGAGTAGCTACAGAAAATAATATTTTGTTTTTCAGAATGGGGTGAAGGTGATGTTTTATTTTATACGTCATCACATGAGTACAGAGCTAGTGAAGTATGGAGACATGAAGTGGGAAACAAGAAATCACAGGATGTATTGATATTTGAAGAATCAGATGAGAGGTAATATTTTGCTGTTATAACACTATATCAATTTAAAGATAAATTCCCACTTTGTAATATATTCAAAACACTCCCACTGATTATTGTGAATAGTGGTAAAAAAATCTAAAATATTAGAGCACTGTACTCAAGTAGTAAAAACAAGCTTTTAGTTAGCAGGGTCTTATCACGAAATCAATCATAATTTTTATTTTTATCACTCAAAGCTATATGCATGTGTGTGCAACTTTATTTTAGGACATGCTCTGAGTTCAATTCTAGGATATTGTTAGATAAGATAATTCATGAAGTGTACAAAACCCAAAGTCACTATGATGTTTACAGGGAGTTTTTCAAACAGATCACATAAAATGTGAATATAAATCTAAGGTAGCAGCAGGGGTAAAAAGTGCTATGAAAATAAACTACACATCATCTGAAAGTTTAGATAAAAAGTGAGAATGCAACATTAAACTGATTTTACTATTAGAAACTAATTATGATAGAAAAAATTCATTATGAATTATCATTTTTTTTGTTCAGATTTTTTGTTGATATAAGTCATACCAAAGACAAGAAATACTTGCCAATCTACAGTACATCCAAGTCTTCAAGTGAAGTACATCTTATTGATGCCAGTAAACCTACTGATCCGCC